TTATATATCTATTATAGTTTTCAAGATAACGGCAAAAATGAAAAAAAATGGTAAAATTTGTCATTTAAGGACAATAACTCCTATAAGAAGTCGCCTGACAGTTTTGACAACAATGAACAATTGGTAGAGCTGAACATTCTGAACATGTTTGCTCCCGACAGATTTTCTTTATTTATAACAATTTTCAAAATAATAGACAAAACTTGCATTGTATCCCTATGTTCTATTTTTAGCCATGTTGGCCATCTTGGTTGGCGGGTGGGATCGTCAGACACATTTTTCAAACTAGATACCCCAATGATGATTGTGTACAAGTTTGGTTAAATTTGGTTCAGTAGTATCAGAGAAGATTTTTGTAAAAGTTAATGGACTACAACAACGACTACGGAAGACAGACGATGCCAAGTGATGAGAAAAGCTCACTTGGTCCTTTGGGCCAGGTGAGCTAAAAAGGTGTTCTTTTTTAAATCTAAGATTGCATGATGAAAAGAAAATCCTCTACATAAAAGTGAAATCACAATTTATTTCTTTTTATCACCTCCTGAATCAAGAAAAAATATATACCCTACATCCCCTTTCATTCACATCTATACAGAACGATTTACCTCCAAACCACAGGGCATTATTTTGCTAATCCCAATTGAAAACTTTTTTAATTTGTCATCTGTTTGAAAATTTTAAGTATAACGATTTATCTGGAAATTTATGTTTGCAAATCAATATTCTCCTGCTATTCCATTGGCCAAAGTTACATAACAGAGTTATGTCTGAAAAGGTAGTCAAGGTCTTAAAGGGGATGTTTATACAGTTTTACATTGCATTATCATTTTTTGTCAATTGGAGACATGTTGAAGGGTTAGTTGAGATCTTTGAAAAAATAGGTAACCATATAAAAATAATTATATGTGGTTTTATTGCCAATGACACAACTATCCACCAGAGTTCAAATTACGAAGATACAAGCAATTATAGTTCACTGTATGGCCTTCAACAATGAGAAAATCCATACCATATAGTCAGCTATAAAAGGCCCTGACATGAAAGATGTGAAACAATTACCATACTTATTTTTGAGAAAACTTAGGCTAAACTTTGGGAATATTGATAATTTTGTTAAAATTTTCTGACAACTTCAAACTTTTCTAAAATTGATATTTTTAGCAACAAAATCTGATAAATGCATGATTACTAACCTCTATCAATAAGAAATCTTTTCATGACATAAGATGGCATGCCAAAAAGTGTTCAAAAACATGTGACATGCTGTTTTGCTCTAACAACCATACAACTCATAAGTACACTTAACTGATGTAAACTTTTATCATATTCAACAGGTGGCTGTTTGGCTAATTTTAGATCATTGTCTGATGCATTTTAATTACAGTTTTGTTTAAATTTGCATGATAGCAAATGCAAAGGGAAAGATAGTTCTGGAACAAAATTGGGAAATAATGTCTCAGGGCTAATGATATCTCATTGAGGATATCAATTACACCTGCCAGGAAGGATGATATGGGCTATGACTTAATATTCATAGTTATCAACCCACACACTTTTCCGATCCTTTGTAATACACAGTGTTCCAACTGTTTACATACAGTCTATTTTTGGCATGTCATGATATTATTTCTCATTGCTAGAGGTTGGCAACGATAACTGATTGTGATTAGCAACAAGTTTCAAGTGACTTTGAATTTGAGTCCATTAACAATATGTTTAACCTCTACTGCCAATATAAGTACTCAAAATTTTCTGTACATCTCTTTTTTTCAATTTGAACATTCCTCTCTTATTCTGTTGACTTTTTTCTAAATATCTACAACTAAAGTTCCACTAGTATATAAAGTTTATCACTGGTTTTATTTGAATTTCCTTTTAATAATTACTACAAAGAACATTATTTAACATCTACAGTTAGTTTAACTGTCTTTGTAAATGCATCCTGAGATGTAGTTTTACCTCAGTGGTTAATATAAATGTTCCCCAGTGAATTCCCAGAGAATTTTCTGCTTTAATATCTTCATGAATCTTAACAGCTTCTTCAGGGTTGACATGCTGATTCTTCATAAAGTTTCTGAAATAAGAGGACATTTTACTCCATTGAAGCAAATGAAATGTGTCTTGTACATTCAATATTTATAATGCTAAAATTTTATATGATGACTTTAATATGCTGTTGAATAGGCAACTTATACAAATATTTTCTTACAATTTACGTGAAATATTACTGACTTTACTGTATACTTTTATGCCATGATCTGTTGTGGAAGCAAATTGTGTGAAAGGTAGACACAATGCTTTTTTTACGAGGAAAAAAAAAAGATAAGAAATGACTCAGATAGATTGTTTTAAAATCCCATTATAGAGAACGACCAGATAATGGAGGCCTGTTATGCCAACACCCATTTCTTTTCAGGAATAGACAGCTATCTTGACTTTTGTTAATATAAAATATGCATGAAATATTGTAAATTAATTTTCAGATTCTACAACTTTCAATAATTTTATTTGATTTTCTAATGCTCTTCTTTTCATTTTCACTATATTGTACCAAATAATTCTTAATACTCACTAAACCAAGTATTTCTAAAAACTATTATATGGATAAATTATTTGTGACATCTGATGTATAATATAAGCAAAAAAATGCTATTTACTTACTAGAAGTCAAAGTCATGTACATATCATCTAAAGAGGCTAGTGTCCCTAGAAATTAATCTCAGAATTGGCTTTGGTTTGTTTCAAGAATGTGTTGTTTTTTAAATAAAATAAAAAGTTCAATGACTTAAATTTTAGTGATTATTCAATAAATTATCTGTTTCTTACCTTGGTTCATATGCACCTATAGGTATAGCTGCAAAAGAAAATGGACCATACTTTCTCCCAATCTGTTCAAATCCTTCACAGTAAGCAGTATCCCCAGCGAAGTAAAAACTATAATTAGGTCCTTTCACAATCCAACTTCCCCATAATGCCTGTAATAAAAATAACAGATTGTTTACAGCTAAACCATCTAATGCAGTGACAAGTATGGGTCATTTTTAAAGACTGAAAAACATGAAACCAATCAATACAACAGGTGATATCAGGTGCTACCAAAGGGTACGCAAATCCTGCTCCAAATGTGGCAAGTCTATTAATTCAGGCAATAACAAATAAACAAAAGTCAGGAGCCTCTGGCCTTTGTTAGTCTTGTAGTTTTTTTAATTTTAGTTCATTTATATGTTTTGGAGTTTAGTGTGACATCCATTTTCATTGAACTAGTACACATTTTTGTTTAGGGGCCAGCTGAAGCCCGACACCGGGTGCAAGATTTTCTCGCTGTGTTGAAGACCCATTGGTGGCCTTTGGCTGCTTTCTGCTCTTTGGTTGGGTTGTTGTCTCTTTGACACATTCTCCATTTCCATTCTCAATTTTAATTTTCATTTCTTGAACAAAAAGGGCACTAAAATTAGTTTTCTATAAACAATAAAATGCTCCGCTGGGGCACAGCTTGATACGACCGCAGAGGTCGAACCCTTAACAGTTGGGGCAAGCATGGACACAACATTTAAGCTTGATACAGCACTGAATTTGGATTGTAATTAAATATTTGACACAGCATAGGTTTCTGACACAGAATAAAAGTGGTCTAAGAACTTAAAAATTTTTAATTTACCTATTCAAACCATATCATTATTATTTGCTTTTATATATAAATCAGAAATAACCAATTTAAAATGGAAAATTTTAAAGAAAAAAAAGGAAAAAAAAAAAAACCCTTATAATTCATCACCCCCAAACTCAATCCCAGCCTTCCCTTTGTGGTATGGTACCTTGCAGTACAATTTCAGAGAGATCCATACACTTGAACACAAGTTATTGTCTGGAAACTAGAAAAATGCTTATTTTTGGCCCCCTTTTGGCCCCTTTTTCCTAAACGTTTAGGGCAATTACCCCCAAACTCAAACCCAGCTTTCCCTTTGTGATATGGAACCTTGCAGTACAATTTCATAAAGATCCATACACTTACACACAAGTTATTGTCCTGAAACTAGATAAATGCTTGTTTTTTTGCCCTTTTATGGCCCCTAATTACTAAAATTTTGAGAGAATTACCCCCAGCCTTCCCTTTGTGGTATGGTACCTTGCAGTACAATTTCAGAGAGATCCATACACTTGAACACAAGTTATTGTCTGGAAACTAGAAAAATGCTTATTTTTGGCCCCTTTTTCCTAAACTTTTTGGGCAATTACCCCCAAACTCAATTCCAGCTTTCCCTTTGTGATATGAAACCTTGTAGTACATTTTCATAAAGATCCATACACTTACACACAAGTTATTGTCATGGAACAAGAAAAATGCTTGTTTTTTGCCCCTTTCTGGCCCCTAATTCCTAAAATTTGGAGGCAATTACCCCCAAAATCAATCCCAGCATTCCCTTTGTGTTATGGAACCTTGTGATACAATGTCAAAGAGATCCATACACTTACACACAAGTTATTGTCATGAAACAAGAAAAATGCTTGTTTTTTGCCCCTTTTTGGCCCCTAATTCCTAAAATTTGGAGGCAATTACCCCCAAAATCAATCCCAGCATTCCCTTTGTGATATGGAACCTTGTGGTACAATGTCAGAGAGATCCATACACTTACACACAAGTTATGTCTGGAAGTTACAAAAATGCTTATTTTTTGCCCCTAATTCCTTAACTGTTGGTACCATAACCCCCAAAATCAATCCCCACCTTCCTTTTGTGGTATTGAACCTTATGGTAAAATTTCATTGAGATCCATTCACTTAAACTAAAGTTAGAGTGCGAAAACTAATGTGTCTTCGGACGACGACGACGACGTCATACCAATATACGATCACAAAAATTTTTTTGCGGTCGTATAAAAATATTGCAACATTTTTATAAATATGGAAAAGCCATAAACACCTTACTAAATACCCTAAAACAGCTGTAATAATTTAAGAACCATTTATGAAATGCAACAAGAGATAGAATAGATATTTACCTTATTAGTATCAATTAAATTTCTCTTACACCAATGTTGACATGGAGTACAAACTAACTTAACATCTGTGTTTTTAGGAAATACAGACTCTTCCCACCAAGTTAATTCTGTAACATTTTCACATCCAACATTTGTCATCCATTGTTTTGTCCCTTTAGGAACATACCAAGCCAAATCTTTCCCAAATCTCTCATTCAATTGCTGGACAGACCCATGATCTAAATGGTCATAATGTGTATGGCTTATAACTACAATGTTGATGTTTGGTAATTCTTGAACTTCACATGGTATTGGTCTAAAACGCTTTGGTCCAAACCATTGTGACATAGAAGCTCTCTGGCTAAAAATTGGATCTGTGAGAACCGTTAGGCCATCAAACTGAACTAGTACACTAGCATGTCCTATCCATGTGACCTGAATATCATTGGGAGGTGGGTTATTCAATCTAGCAAAGTCAGGTTTTTCTACTGGCAGTGTTTTGTCTAATTCCTAAAAAAAGTTTGTGAACCACATGTTATAAAGCGTTTTTACATTACAGAACTGTAATTAATTATTTATTTTTGAGTTTATTGTTTAGGTCAATCATTGATAAATGATTAAAAGCAATGTACTATTATTTTGAAAACTTTTCATCCTTTACTTTTTACTAAAAAACACTTCACAGGCACTTGTCTCTGAATAAAATTACTTTTTCACCTTATTTTTGTTTATATTTTGACTAGCAACTAAATTGTTAAAAATATGACCATATAGAAAGCTTAAGTATACAGTGTCATGATTGTATTTACTTGACTTTTAGGAATATTGGAGTTGTCTTTGCTGATGAAAATGAACTTCAATAATCCTCCTAAGCCTGGAAATTTAAATCCTTTCCATGGATTCTCGTAGCAACCATTCTTTAAAACAATTGGATTGGTAAACTCATCTGGCAAGGTATCACTCACTGCTTCTGCCATTTATCTGATAAATAAAATTCAGTTTAAAGAATATACATGAATATAGACATCTTTAATAAATTGATGAATGGTTAAAATCAAAATACTTCGTCTTCATTCATATCTGATTACTTCAGAATAAAAATGTAAGAAAAATATGACTTCTTATCATTGTTATGCTGATAGTAACTTTGATTTTAATATGATATACAAATCTGTGTTTGTTTGATCATCTTCATGTGTTAATTTATTCAGTATTTACATGGTTTAGTAAAAAAGCTAATGGAAAGTGAAGAGGACCCATTAAGGTACAGAATTCGACAATCGATTGATTCAAAAACAGTTAATTTTTCCTTCATTTTTTTATTCAATTCAGTTAAAAAGAATGTATTAAATAGACACTTTAACGATTGATTAATTCAACAAAACTTTAACGAACAATACGATAAGTAACGATTGAAAAACATTTGTCGAATCAATCAATTCAATTTATTCTTGATGAATACTCAATCGTAACGATAGATACGATCGATAACGATTGAACGTCATATGTCGAATCAATCAACCCAATTTGTTTAAGACGAAGTCACAATCGTAACTGTTGACAACGATTGAACATCATTTGCTGAATGAACTTTCACAGTTTGGTTTTTACCACTACTCGATCGTAACGATTAATAACGAGTGAAGATCATCTGTCGAATCGACCTCCACAGTTTGGTTATAACCACTACTCAATCGTAACGATCGATAATGATTGAACATTGTTTGTCGATTCAATCAACTCAATGTGTTTGTGATGAAGACTCGATCGTTCCGATAGATAACGATTGAACGTTATATGTCAAATCAATCAACTCAATTTGATAATGGTAACTATTAATACCATTGATAAAGATTAAACATGATTAGTTATACTATATTTACAACTCAAGCACTGGGAGAGATAAACTCTATGAAAATAACATATGTAAGAATGGGTATGGTGTACACACAATTGAAAAATGTACAAAAGTTGCAGCACAGGAACAGCGCTTTTATTAATTTGCTGTTTGAAAGATTTTAAACACAGATAAAACCTTTTTAACCTTAATTCAAGTTTGAAGACGGTCCATAGCACCGGTTTGAGCATTCTTTACGAAAGTATACAGTGACAAAACTGTACCATGGAAAAACACAGAGAACAGAGGCAATATTAACAGGTGAATGAGTATTTCGGAGCAATACAATATCACATCCTGGTTGCCTGGATTTTTTCACGATTCATGCTATTTCTAAAGGGCATAATTCACCAAACATCATTCCAATCAACTGCAAACTCTATTGAATACGATCGTGCTAGGTTTAAAATATTAATATAGAGTTGACTGAGTTCATTATATTGATCAACTGTGGCACAATTGTATCAATTGAATACAACCAATACGATCATGCTAGGTTTGAAATGTTAATATAGAGTTGACTGAGTTGAATATATTGATCAACCGTGGCACAATCATAACAATTGAATACGATCTATACGATCGTGCTAGGTTTAAAATATTAATATAGAGTTGACTGAGTTGATTATATTGATCAACTGTGGCACAATCGTATCGATTGAATACGATCGATACAATCGTGCAAGGTTTGAAATATCAATATAGAGTTGACTGAGTTGAATATATTGATCAACTGTTGCACAATCGTCATGATCGAATACGATCAATACAATCATTTTTTACTTGTTTTGAAAATTGTATATTTTATAACAATTTCTTATTTGATTTTTCTTATGTGTGTGTTTGTTTGATTATTTTGTAATTGTTTGTTTATTATATTTCAATGCATTTCATGAGGGCCTCAGGGAAGATTAGTGTTATAGCTAACTGTGTAACCCTCTTTAAATAAAGAATTATTATTATTATTATTATTAATCGTGCTAGGTTCATTATATTAATATAGAGTTGATTCAGGTGATTATATTGATCAACCGTGGCACAATCCTATCAATTGAATACAATCGATACGATCGTGATAGGTTCATAATATTAATAAAGAATTGACTGAGTTGATCATACAGATAAACCGTGGCACAATTGTATCGAGTGAATACGATCGATACGATCGTGATAGGTTCATAATATTAATAAAGAGTTGACTGAGTTGATCATACAGATCAACCTTGGCACAATTGTATCGAGTGAATACGATCGATACGATTGTGCTAGGTTTAAAATATTAATATAGAGTTGACTGAGTTGATTATACAGATCAACCGTGGCACAATCATATCGCTTGAATACGATAGATACGATAGTGCTAGATTTGAAATATTAATATAGAGTTGACTGAGTTGATTATATTGATCAACTGTGGCACAATCGTAACTATTGAATACGATCGATACAATCGTGCAAGGTTTGAAATATTAATATAGAGTTGACTGAGTTGATTATATTGATCAACTGTGGCACAATCGTATTGATTGAATACAATAGATACGATCGTGCTCTGTTTATTATATGAATATACAGTTGACAGAATTGATTATAAAAATAGCACAGTTGACTGAGTTGATATATCCCGACACGAAGGAAGTATGTTAATTTGGTACAACAACTGTATTGAATCGACAAAATAATACGATCGAAAACAGTGACAAGATATTTATACTATATAAAAAAAAAATGTCAAATCAATCGCTGTCAAATACTGTACCATACTCAGATCATGCACATAAATTCAGTGTGAATTGCTGGCTTCAAAGGCAAGGAATTCTTTTAAATGATATAAGAAAACAATTCAAAAAGATGTTGGCTTTCTCCTATACACTTAAAGTCTTTTTGAATTGTTTTCTTATATCATTTAAAAGAATTCCTTGCCTTTGAAGCCAGCAATTCACACTGAATTTATGTGCATGATCTGAGTATGGTACAGTATTTGACAATCGATTGATTTGACATTTTTTTTTTTATATAGTATAAATATCTTGTAAATAAAACATAAATGAAAAAAAATGAATATATGAGTTTTGAGAAGAATTTTTGGTCCTAAATAAAAAAAAATTCTTCTCAAAACTCATATATTCATATTTTTTCATTTATGTTTTATTTATTTATTATGTATTTTTGTGGTTACTGGATTAGTAAAACTGCATTTAGAATACGCTTCAACCTTCCACCGTTAAGGTTCATCATAACAAATGGACAAATATGTCCGTACTTTCACCTCAAAAACTACTCTGTGTACAGACTTACCTGTGCAGTTTGGAAAGTTTAAAGGCCTGGCATCCACTAGATATATAAAAGTTAAATGCATTTTGTGTTTCAGAAAGATAAAATCATTTTTGGATTTTGATGGGCATTTTTTTTTCCTTCCTGCAGAAGATGTAAAAATAAACAAACACCTAAATTGCATTTGATACTGTCCACTCAGTTACTACCTTTTACTCACCTATAGATGTATTGATATCTATTGTCCAGCCAATCAAGGACAATCAATACAATACAAACTAGTTGTTACCTGAGAGGGAGCATCTCAAAGTTGTATCCAAACTTAGTTTATTTTTACACCTTCTGCAGGAATGAAAAAAAATGCCCATCAAAATCCAAAAACGATTTTATCTTTCTGATATGCAAAATACATTTAACTTTTATATATCTAGTGGATTTCAGGCCTTAAAACTTTTCAAACTGCATAAGTTCGTATGTACACAGAGTAGTTTTTGAGGTGAAAATACGGCCATATATGTCTATTTGTTATGATGAACCTTAAGGACTAGGCCACTAAAAATTCCATCTACAAGATATATCAGGTTCAAAGAAAAGCAACAAGATACAAACAAGTGTAAAACAACTTTTGAGATTCAAATAGTGTCCAGAGAAATTTTCTGATTCAACCATTGCTCATAACAGATCATAACACAGAAGGGTACAAGTCAAATCGGCACCTGGTCAAATCGGCACCCATAGAAAAAGTCAAATCAGCACCTGGTGAAATCAGCATCTAGTCAAATTGGCACCTATTTAAAGTCAATTCGGCATCCAATAATATTTGATATAATATATATTTATAAATAATTCTAACAATGTATAAATGATCTTTCTATTAATAATTATTTTTGGGGTTGGATTTTATCATTCATTACATCTTTAAAAATAAATTAATAAATTTATTGTTTAAAGTTTTCTCAACATTCTATCGGACTGATGTTTTGATTAGTTTTCTTTTCAATTAATTAATTAATAACTTTTATCAATTACATAATTAACATGTTTGTTGTTTTAACTCTATACAGGTAGTTATTGCTGTTTTTTCTTCAAAAACTTAATAATAAACAATGAAGCCATTACCCAAGCAGTTGTTTAATTATGAGAAAATTAGATGCAATAAAAGGGAAAACTATGAGTTCATTTCATTACTATCACTAATCAAACTTGCATGCAAAATAATTAGCAATTAAGGTGGTTTTTCAGGAAACTTTAAACAGCATTAAACCAACAATCATGCAAAATGCTCAACTAGTTAAAATATGCATAAAAAATATTCAATACCTTGAATACGCATTAAGTTGAACGAAAAAAAATACATACAGAAATCCCCCCAAAATGTAAATAGGTCAATACTTGTTTAACCCCTTCTTTATTTTAATCTTTTTGCTTAAAATACTGAAAAAAACATATATTAAACATATCTAACATGGGTGCCAAATGACTTCATCGGGTGCCGATTTAACCAGGTGCCAAATTGACCAGGTGCCGATTTGACTATACCGGGTACCGATTTGACCAGGTGCCGATTTGACTAGAATTCCCACAGAATCCCAAAAGGGACTGAAACATGTAGCATAAAGCTGCATTACTTGTTGAAGGAGAAAATTACATTTAAGAACTCAAACAAACTATACACCACAACTTACAGAATAAATCAAAGAAAGGCCGAAAGCCAATGTGTCCGTGTCTTTCGCTACTCTGCTATACAGTAATTTGCACAAATTGTTGCGTAAGCGTAGGTCGACATTTAGAACATTTGAAATGTTCCGGGTTATTTAAATATGTTTCCTTGTACTGTTGTTTCTTAACCAAACAAGGTAAAACTTTTCTTAAAAAGAATTCCAGTTTCTGTCTAAACTATTCAACATGTTGTCTTCTCTGATATATTTCTACTTTCATTTTATTTTGACAAACTTTCACTTTGACCGGAAGTTACGTATGGAAAGCGGAATTAGGACAACTCGGACCATAAATATCTCGGACCAGGACAACTTGGTAACTATATGCCGTTAATATATTAGTCCAAGCCTTTTTATGCTGTCAGCAACGCTGCCGACGCAGATTAGACGGAAATCAAGGCTAGCTAAAAAAGAAATGTAATTTGAATAAATAAACTTTAATTTGGATGGAAAAAAAAACACTATGATTGACCAAAAGAAAAATAATTATACAAATTTAAAATTTAATCAAGGAATTTTAAAGTATCTATAACTATTCAGATCCTTGATTCAACCCCAAAAAGGGAAATGGTGCATGATCAATGTTACTTACTGTGTAGTATGAAAACATATTTAAGTTCTATCATTTTACCAGATATTACTATCACACAGAACTAGTAACCTTACTGATTTAATAGACATGACATATTTGACACCGAACTTGAATATGCACTAGATACCTTGAGAGTATGGTAACGAACCAGGGGCAAAACTCGGCAGTCTTCTTTTGTAAAATGTCTTGTAAGATGATTCACTGACTAGTATGCTTTAATACTGGGAGGGTTAGAATTATTATGTTTTATTAAGGTACATACTGGTCATACTGCTACATAAATACGAAAAAACGCGCATTTTTAAGACGGGTATGTCTTGAATTTGCTTCACTAACCATGTCAGAATGCTACGGTTCAAGGATGTAACATAGCAACTATGTGTCACCGTATGGCTTTCAACAATGAGCAAACTTCATATCGTATAGTATTTAGCTATAAAAGGATACGGACAACATGTACAACAATACAACAGAGAAAACTAACGACATAATTTAAGCTGATTACATCAGACAAAAACAATTTTGATGTGCTTTTTTTTTTTTTTAATTTTACTGATTCTATTTCTTTAGTGTAAGTACATATCATATTTATATAAGCAAGTAAATTTTAGAAAAATAAGCCTCTCAACCTGTGGTTAAAGCCAACAATGTTCAGAAGGAAAGTTATAAAAATATCTTCTGAAAGATACACTGTATTTTTTAAATTATTACTATGCCCAAGGATTTACAAATCCTTGCTATGCAATATACATGATAATTACATCACATGTACCTGTATGTTTCACGATAATCCGTTAGTTTGATTGGCTAACAACAATTGCGCGTAATTCAAAAATTAACCTTCATGTCAAAATGAAATGTTTGTCGTGATGACACGTGTTTCCACAAAAAAGTGCACCGGTAAATAAAAGAAAAACTTGATAAAACTTTTGTTCATGGTCTTATTAGCATAAAAATGTAATTATAAGAAACGAATGCCTCTTTTTTAATTTTATTGGGGTGTAAAAGTGTTGATCGTGCACACATTTCTAGAATGAAGCACTTCCGCGCTTCATACAAAATGTACTTTTACACCCCAATAAGATTACAAAAAGTAGCATTCATTTCTTAAATGATATTTGTTATGCAGTTAACAAATATCAAATGTGTAAAACCTAATTAAAAGCATCATGATCAGGTGATACTAATGTTGAGTCTTTGTACATTTGCACCAGAAGCACTCTGGCAGTATTGATTACAGATTCTTTTTCTTATAGATCTAAGAATTATTAAAGCTAATACGAAAGCAAATCTATCCAATAATTTGCTGTGACTTGTCATCATTTTCATAATCAACTTCACCCTGAAAATAACAAAAATAGTTTTAATCACACACACACACACACACACACACAAACAAACAGATTTTCAATTTTACAACAAGAATATTGTCTTCTTGACTGATGCTGACTGTGAATGGCAATAAGTTTAAAGATATTTTAGGTTTTGAATGTCTAATATACATTTGTAATATCAATCTTAGAAGATGAACTTAAAGTAGATCAGGTGTCTTGTTCTGAGCATCCCTTCTGGGCATGTTGCAAAAATACTTTATTGTTTTAAATTTTTTTTACCAAGCATCATTCAATATACAACAAAAATATCAAACTATCTAAAAATTAAGTGTCGAAAAGTGGATTTAAAATTCTTAGAACAAATCCTTTTAAAATCAAGGACAGATAATTAAACTGAATTTGATAGGACAATTTGTTTTGTTTTTTTTTCGAGAAAATAAGGCCTGTGACCCCGTTTTTTATTTGATATTTCAGAATTATCAATATAAAGGAATTCTAGCATTGAATTTTCTCCCCTATATTACCAACATAAAATAGCCCCGATTTGATGTATTTTAATGACCCACAGTTTTTAGTTTTATATTGTAATTTGAAAGAACATTGACCTAGAAGTCTTTTACAGAAGTTTAAGGAAAATTATGTCGTCGAATATTTAGACACACCAGCTACCTTAATGTAATTATGATACTAGCAAAAGTTACAGAACATAGTATTCGGCCCTAACTTTAAACTCTGATGACCAAGCGTTTAGATAGATGTACAAAAACCGCTTAATTTTGGCACAAGGCTCTCAAGACGAAGCTACCAGACCAGGAAACAATCTTTTCAAATCCCTGGACATTTTCTCAAAACGATTGTAATATTTGCAGTGGAAACCAATTGCAACCTTGATGATGATGGAAACTATCTAGAGTATTTAAAAAAAAAGATGAAAAGCTATATGTAAGCTGAAACAGTGTACAAGAATGTATAAAATGCATGTGACCATTGTCAAGATATGGAATGTGTGTTTACTACGCTGTGTGATGATAATAGCACATATAAACATTTGGAAATAGATGTATAACTGTCAAGATTACATGCGTTGGGCCCTTTGCTCATGTACAAAAGTACAAAAAATCATATCAATATCTGCAGGCTTGACCGAAAAATCCAAAACGTCTTTTATTTATTGATTGACATGACTACATGAATGACATAGTGTATTTTCAACAGTAAATTATCACCCACTGGAAAGCACACTTTTAAAACTATGAATTAACTATAATGCAAGTTACAAATTCTGTTGATGTTTTTGCATGTTAAAATATGATTTAAATCTTTTATTTACTCTGTGAGGCATTATGTTGAACAACGATCAGGTACTTCTTGATAAAATCCTTTTTGTTAAAATAATTTCATTGCTGTTTTTAATATGTATGCCGGCAACAAACGACAATTACAAGACTACCGGATCCTGGCTAAAGACAGGCACGTACATTAACAAATTCTGTGATTTACGATTGAATGAGCAAAACATGGTTTGTCAAAACGTCTCTTTTACAAACTGAAAATTTACAATAACGATATAATCAAAGTAAAACGGGTTCTAAATTAAAACATTTTAAATCGTTTGCAAGCTACTGGTTGTGCAAAATTGTAAGATTTAGTAAAGAATTTACATGAAGAAAAAAAATCCACTTGTTTGAATAGAAAGAAAAATAAACGTTAGAAATATGAAATGAGACATGAGAAAATAACTCTTATAATGGACTTTCAATAAAACTTGAGATCATCGTTTTCTCTTTTCTTGCTACAAATCAAAGTAGATAAGTTTATTGTACATTCCTTTATAAAATTGAATTATCTGAGTTATTTCCTCTTATAATGCCAAGTTAAAAAAAACCTGACTCAAACAAAAAATGTTCTGTATTTGAAAAAAAAACCTTCATATATAGTAAGATCAATCACATGATTTTCTCCATTTAGATAAAAAGTCTTACAAATTAATTTTATTCCTGTCTCAAAATTTGATTATTTAATGTCAGATCTAGACAAATTGTTCTCTCCTATTTTACAATCCAATATGGCGGAAAACCCCACTCTAATTACCTAAAACCGGACAGTGCCAAATATTCAATTAAGAACATCATTTCAAAATGTTCAACAACAAAAATCGGTCTTTGATTATTTTGCGTAAGTAAGAAGGCCGTATGGTGACCTATTGTTGCTTACTTCTATGACCTTTGGTCTCTGATGGATAGTAGTCTCATTGGCAATCATACCATATCTTCTTATTTTTATGTTAAATTTTCTTTAGATCGCTAGGAATTCCATTATTTTAAAGTTATTTATTTTTAATCAACTGTGTGTCCTTTCAATTACTAAAGAATTCATAAGCTTTAGCTATCATGAAAGAGATGTTTCACTCAAATCAGGACGAAATCACACCTTATCATTAGTATAACATTTCATGTTTTCGCTAATATATGAAAAAATAGACTAAAATATTTATAGAAAAGTATAGGCTATAAAGATATATTTTTCTCTGCATATTTTTTGAGTACATACGAAAATTGCCGTTGTTTACAAAATAAAAAAATATAATCAGCGAGCAATTTTCTTCACCATAAACTTATATTAATTAGCAGATATAAACGTTACAGATCGCCAACATGCAAGGTCCCTTGAACCAGGTTGGTCGAGACTGTTTCCTACACATGCATAATTTTACAACAAAATATTCTATATTGGTTTTGAATTATTATCTGACATATATTTACAGGTCATATTTCAACCCTTTGTATGCCGTTAACGAACCACATTAGAATTCTTTTAGTTTCAATTTCTTCAAAAATATGAAAGTTGAAATGTTGGATATTAATTTAGTGGTAAGTTGATGAGATATTGTATAAATCTTTTATAAAATTAAATCTTTAAATTCTAGAGAATCGCTTTATTCGATGCTATACTCTTCTTTGTAACTGTTGGAGGCAGATCTATTATGAACAACATGAGTGACTGCATGAGGCGTTATTCTTTTAACATTTCGAAGTAATTCTTGGCCTTTTTGTAAGCTGATACACACCCACCCCGAGCCCTTTTCATCCCGATTAAGAACGGGATGAAGGTGTCTATGTTGCAAAACCTGTTAAAGTTGTGCTTCTACCTAATCATAGGCGGTCTCGTTTCCGTCGGTCACATTTTTGTATTCGATATTTCTTTTTTTTTTCCTCATCAAACTCGAATTCATTTGTAATCTTATATTTTTTATAATTTTGTGAACAGCTGCGTCAGGACTCGTCTTCCTCCAATGACTAAAATTTTATAAATGAAAGTGC